TGTGGCCCCACGCTCCCCAAGGTGTCTGTGGGTCTCGGTGCGTTCAGGTGAGAGCCGAGCTGGAGCAGCCCTGCTGCTGACACTGCAATGCAGCTCCAATGCAGAGCTCCTGGCAGAGGGACATTGATTCAATGGTACAGTTGCTGTCCTTTAAACAGAGGTCACATTGCAGGGCTGGCTCTGCCTGTGTGTGCCCAGAGAGGATGGCTGGACCAGGAGTCTGAGTTAGGGCGAGATGCTGTGCCTGCTGCTCGTGCCAGGGCTGGGGACACGTGCCCGTGGCCCATCCACCTGTGCTGAGGATGCCCAGCTCTCCCAGGACAGAGGGCACAGGGATGCCCTCACCCTGGAAGGGCTGGGGGCTCAGCACATCAGAATCTGGTACCCAGAGGATGCTATTTCCACAGCTGTCTGCTCACTCCACCACCTGTTTTCGATCTACTCACTAAGTAAAAATATAATCTGAATTTCGCCTGCTAGAGCAAATTGTGGCTACAAATATTCTCACTTATTAAAAAAAAAAAAAAAGCAGTTATTGGCAACCTGGCTCAGAGCTTAGCAGGGCTTGCAGAGCAGCAGACTGTGAGGTTTGTTACTGGCAATGTATTCAGAAGGCATCTGATCAAAGCTATAAAAGGGGGGAAAAAATCATCAAGGCAACATTGTAAAAGATGATAGTTGTTAAATCTAATTTCAATACTCTGTGTGCATAACCTCTAACTCGGAGGCATCTAAGCATTCCAGACATGGCTGGTGCATTGTAATTTTTGCATCGTTTCACATTACTCACAAGGTGCATTAGATGGACACTGAAGGATGAATTATTCTTTTCAGCAAAACATTTTTGTGGAGTAAGTAAATTTATCTTGCGGGGAGAGTAAAAGGAAGAAATATGGCATTAAAATGTGCAGATCTGAGTTGAACACATCTCTCTTTTACAGGGAAACCATGATTTAAGTGCACTCTATTACTAATGTTTAATAAAAGCCATAATTCAGAATGTCAGGCTGAGGCTGTGTGCATTGAAACTATGATTTGGGGAAAAAATGACACGACCATTTTTCAGTACAGTAGCTCTTCTTTAAGCCATTTGTCTGCAGGCCTAAATTAGCTTTGAAGTGTACTTTATCTTTCCTAAAAAAGGCATTGATACAGCGATTATGCTTTATCAATTAATTTTACATGCAGCACTGGAGAGGACAGAGGTTCTTGGGGCTGGGTGCCTGTCACCTCCCCACCCCAGTGCAGGGTCATGTCACCTGCATCCTGCAGCACCCTGCACCTCGAGGGACCCTGGGACAGTCTGTGAGTGCACAGGCTGAGCTTCCACCTTCCTGTGAGATATTTCCCCAAATATTTGCTCTTCAGTGGGTGTCTCCCCACGTGCTCCCCATGTACCCCCTGTGTTGTCTGTAGAGTTGGCAGCAGACTGTCCATTGCTCCATCAGTTCTGGCTCTGGGGAAATGTGGAATTGACTAATGGATGGTGTCCCTTCCTCTGTCTTCACAGACCTGCAGCTGACCACCAGCTGGCCTCCACTTGCTGTGTAGCTGATATCTATTCTTCTGAAAAATTGTGAAGCTTTTGGCGCAGAGCAAACCCCCAGCAGTGCCTGAGAAACTGCAGAACAGCAATGCTGAGCTCAGAGCTGCACCGTGCTGCTGCAGCAGCCTGGTGGGACACCAGCTTGGGAACAGAACTGGAGTGTTCCATTCTCCAGCCACTCCATGACCCCTGAGAGGGCAGTTGAGCTGGTGGTCCTCCTGCAGCTCTATCAGACATGCCATTGATGTCTGCGTGTCCTCCCTAGGGGTCAGCCAGGGTTATCAGGGCCCCAGGGTTCATCAGATGGCTGTCAAGTGGAGTTTGTTGCAGCCAAGCTGCAAACAGCCTGGGAAAGTCCAACTGGAGCCCCAGGGTGTTCAGGGACGAGTAGCTGTTAAAAGCATTCTGGATTTTGTTCTGCTTTCTTTTACTCTGCTTCCCCTCAATGCCAGCTTTTTCTAGATTAAATAAAAGCAATAAACCAGCAGCTTGTCTGATCCCTGCTCTGCACCATCACGAGTGCTGCTGTCACTGAGCCTGCCCAGCTCCTGCTTCTTGATGCTTTTCTGAATCCCACTGCCTTTACAAGGCTGGGGACAGCTCTCTCCTGCTGCCTGTGACATCCCCAAGGGCGCCCAGCACAGCCCTCCTGGGGCACTGTACCAGCTCTGCAGATGGCCACGGATTCATCTGTTTTGATCTGCACGACTAGAAGTCACACCAGAAGGAAAAACAAAAATAAAGCTCCCCTTCCCTCTCTTCCATTTTCCTTTTCCCAGGATTCAGGGTGCTGGGACCTGCCTTGGGCTGAGCAGGCAGACTCTGAGGGGCTGCTGTGAGCCCGGAGGGACTGGCTCCTTGCATGTGCTCCATCCTTGGGAGTGTCATAAACCAGCATCGGGCTCCAAAGAACTTCCCAAAGTCGTGCCCACAGGTCAGTAACACCTGGATTTAAACCAAGCCAGAGCCCGTGCAGCAGCACACAGGGCTGCTTTACACCAGTGGAAGATCTGGGCCATTAAATATCACTTTCATTTACAATCTGACCTGCAGCTGGGACATTTATTAGCACAATCCAATTCCCCTCGGGGCAGGCAGAGCCTCAGAGCTCGATGCTGAGCCTGGTCCTCGCTGAGTGTCTCCCGAGGAAACACTACCTGTGCTGGGCTCTGCTCCCAGGCACCCCAGCGCCCGCAATTAAACTCTCCTTAAACTTTAAAGGCACACTTAAATGTGTGTTTATGGCCCCATTACTTTCTCTTTATAGCCCGAGGTGAAGGCTGGAATCCTGTCCGAGACATCTTAAAGGTTATATGTACAATTAGCTGGTTCTCATCACGTACTTTCATATTTCACTTCATAAGTCAAAACAAACCCCGAGGAATCAGCTGGGGGCCACAGGGAACGCGGGAGCACCGCTGGAACCAGGGACTGTCACCCCGCCAGGACACCCAGGGGTGGCTCTGCTACAGGGAGAACGATGCTGGGTGAGAGTGGAGCTGCCTCGTCGGGATTTCAGGCTCCCCTCTGCCGCTCCCTGACCTGCCTGAGATGTTGGGGCAGAGTCATTAATGACAGATGTGTAAACTTTTGCATGGAGGGATGCCAATATTTTGCATACTTACACAGCGCTGCCATAAATATTAATGCGGTGCTAATATGGGAAGTTCCACCAGCTGTGTCCATTCTCGGGGGATACTTCAACTATTTATATTCGGGGTAATGAGCAAGCTGTTATTATATAATCAGGCTGTTGGAGAAGCCTTTGGAATAAAAGTCTCACTGAGAATTAGCCAACAACAGGAGCGTGCTTGGAGCCACAAGACATCAGAGACTGAGTGATGGAAGGTTTGGCAGAGCAGAGGCAGGACAGGAGAAAAGCAGGGCAGGAGGAGAAAGGTACCGAGACTGAAGCTCCTGAGGAATTCTGACTGAGATGAGGGGTTTTTTGCACCCAAACACCAAAATTCTCTACCTGCAAAGTAATCCCAGATTTCTTGTATGAAAGATTAAGCCACCAAAGGAGGCAAAAATGAGCAATGTTTGCTCAGTGCTGAAAACCAGAAGCAAGAACAAACTTTGTTATGGTCTTCTCTCTACAAGCACAACCTGCTTGCTTTAATCAGAGTTAGAATGATGCTGCTTTCATCTGACTTGAGAATCAGCCTCTCTTCTCACACTGAAGTTGGATTTGTGTTGATTTTATTACTGTTTTGGACTCCCATAACACAAATGACTGATGAGTCAAATCTGTGCCGCATCCTTGGATGTATTAGGCTCCTATTGTCTTTTTTGCATCAAATCTATGCTTTTTATAAGGCAGACTTCTTCTTCTTAAAAAAAAAATATCTGGAGAACAGTTTGGAAGTGATTTAAATCCTCTCCCCCCCTTTTTTTGGGGAACGATGAACATTTAATTGAGTTGAAGGTGGATAAATGATCATTTTCTTCATCCTATATGGTAGTGAGTAGTAAATTACTTTACCAGGAAACCCAGTTATAATTGCAAAATTGATAACAGAGGTGTGAAAATTTACACCTGTGATAATAAAGACTAGCTTCCCATCGTACATCGACATTATATCTTGTGAGTTATCTCTTGTGCATGATCTAAATATTTCATATAACCCAGCAATCAGAGCCTTCAGCACGCCAAGCAAGAAATAACCTCCTTTTATATTTCATAGGCATATATATATATATATGTATTACAAACAACAGCACGTTCTGCATGCACCTACACACCTGCACAGCAGTGCTCCAGGGGTGGGTGTTCGTGTTCCTGAAAGCTGATGGAGAAACCCAACATTGTGCTGCAATGCAGGGTTTGGAGGCAGCGTGGCAGGGAGGGGTGGGCAGAGCATCGTAACCTTGGGCAGACCCAGATTAAAAATTGCTATTTGGCATCCTCCAGCTCTGAGCTGGACCCTGGTGAGCTGCTGAACAAGAGGAATCTGCCTCCTCCTCCTCCTCCTCCTCTCTGTCCTACCAGCTTTTCCCCAGGAAACTGCTGAGTAAAGGGAAGCACAGAACTTATGGTCAGTTTTGGCAGGGGCCGTGGAGCTGGGGCAGGATGAGGATCCCTGAGTGCTCCGGGGTCCTACTCGGGGCTCAAGACCCCTCAGGGGCTGGCACGATGCCACCACATGCTAAAGAGATGATACTCAGCTGGTAATTAAGCACTGCAATCAGCGGAGCTCTCAGCAGAGCCCGCTGAAATGAACTCTGTGCAGACTGAAATTAATACCGAGCATCCTAATGGGCAGGAGTGCACTCGCCAGGATTAACCCAAGAGGAAATCAAACCCTTCAGAGGAAGCTTTTGGCAGCAGGAATCGCCCCCTTATTATCCAGCAAAAGTCTCAGCGCTAATTCTGAATTAATCCATAATTTGGGAAGAATTTCTCAAGGTCAAGGCTTTTTTTTTAAATTTTTTTTTTATTTTTGCTAAGTCTGGTTGCACTGGATGCAGAAAGTGTTGGACGTTCCTGGGGGTTTCCATGGATTTGGGGTTTGGAACAAGGCTGTGCTGTGGCTGGTGGCAGGCACAGTCATTAAAACACAGGGATTAGAGCCTTCAACCTGAATCTGAGTCTAATCCATTACCCTGCTCACAGGGAATCACCAGGAACAGGAGCTAATTCCCTCCACTTAGGCTAAAAGAGATGGGCTCTTTAAAAAAGTTTGGTCTGGTTAACAGAGTTGTATCCAAGATCTCTGTTACTGAGGTGCCAAAGCCATAAAACACATAAATTGCCTCTTTCTCCTAATTTTAGCATGTCATTTCATAGATATAGATAGGCTTTTATATAGATATATATTTTATTATGCTCTATGTGTCTTAAGATATCATTACTTTTATCTTGGCCAGTTTATTAAAGATAATTATATGGAAGTTCCCATGCATTCTCCAAGATTGCAGTTGGCTGAGCTGGATGAGAACATTATGCTAACAAGAACATATTTTGCTGTGCAGGAGACAATCTTTTCTGGGCAGGAAGAAGTGAATAATTTTCCTTCTCTTTTTCTGCCTTCCAGTATTTTTCTTGAAGCTCATTTCAGTAGCAAGACATCTCCAGCTTCCCCTAGACTAAAGCAAGAGACAAGATGCAAGAGCCGTTGATTCACCTTAGGGAATACTTTGGAGAGATCAAAAAGTGCTCGTGTGCAAGCTGTTTCCTGTGGGAGGAGCATGGCAGTACAATCAATCCATGAATGCATTGTAAAATCAATGCTCTGTATAATTAGGGCACTCCAAGGGTAAAAAAAAAAAAAAAAAAAGAAAAAAAAAAGGAAAAAAAAAGGGAAAATTAAAAAGGGAAGATCTTCAGTGTCTACCAGGACTCTTGAAGGCTGGAGGAGTCACAAGCACCTGAACAAACAGATTTTAAGCCTGTTTCAGAGGCAGTGAGGGAAGATCTTGGGGGATTGATGTAAAACCTTTTGTCTTGGTGCTGGCTGTGAAATGCCAAGAGCTTGGGGATGGTGATCACAGGTGAGTCAACCTCCTCAGATCTCAGCTGGGACACCTGGGGCTCCAACACCCTGACCACCACTTCAGACTGCCAGTGAGAAACATTTTTGATGGCAAACCCCTCTGGCAGCAGCCAAAAATGGTCTGGGAGGAAAAAAGAGACCAGAAACCACCTTGGCTGCGGGTGGGGTGGCCAGGATCAAACCTTCCCCTGCAAATTCAGCCCTCCCCTCTGCCCTGCTGGTGGTGATGGTGGAGATCCTCTGTGTCCCACCTCCACACCCAGCAGTGCAGAAAGGCTCTGACCTCGGAAGATTCCTTTGGCATTTAAATATTTTCAGCCGTTTCTCAGAGACCAAACGGTCGTAACTCCCAGCTAAACACAAATGTTAACTATAGATCATGAAATACAGCAGGGTGTAAATAGTTCTCTTTTATAAGGCACTAAATTATAAGCAGAGACAATTAAGTTAGAAGACAAAAATTCCTTTAAATTAGCAGTCACTTTTGTGCAAGTTCTTGGTGAAAGTAATAATGTGTTTCTGCCTGAAAAATTCACTTTTTAGGGTATGTGGAGGCTGTTGCTGACTGCCGACCCTGTTGGCGCCCACTGCAGCTCTCAACAAAGCTTGGCTTGATAAATAAGGCTTTCAAATTTAAAGCTTAAACCACCCTTCAGTCTGATTTTTATTTATTCAACGCTAAAAGATCCAACTTACCCCCAAAGATCCTCTCCAGAAATTATGCTCCCAGGCAGGGGGGCAAAAAACAAACAAACAGTGCCTGGAATGGCCACAGCGCTGGTTAATGCTCCTCAGATGGGTCATTAGGTCTTTTATGGATTGTCAGCATGGAGAACTGATCCTGGTTCCAGGGCAAAGAAAACTACATCATATTAAAATACATGGCTCTTGTGGGACACAGCACTTCCACAGGGCTGCCTGCGAGTTTGGCAAGAGCCTGAAGTTGAGAAAGACAGATAACCCTGCAAATCAGAAAAGGCAGGTTTTCATCAATAGAAAATTACACATCCCTGGTGAGAACTCGCATCATTATCTATCAAGAAATAAATTGGCCTGAGTTCCTCTTAACTGGCTCATCTGCTGGGGTGTCGTGGTGGGAAGGACCTTTGTCTCCTGAGCAGCCACCGGTTCACTGGGTGCTTTAATTGCTTCTAGGAATAACTATTGATGGAGACATGCAAAGCTGCTCATGCCCCAGCTTCAAAGAAAAGGGTTTTTTAAAGGATTCACTGTCCTGGAATGCTTTGACTGCAGACACAGGTGGGGAGGGAGAGGTTCTTACGGGGAAGAGGTGCAAAGAATAGCCCAGTCCTCATCCATATGAAAACAGCTCCAGGAGCAGTGCTCCATATCAGAGCTTGGTTTTCAGAGGAGGATGAGAAACATCCTCAGGGCTATGAGAAGCACCCCGCAGGGCTGTGGGCCAGCTCTGCTGCAGCAGCTTTGAGCCTTTAAATCCAATTTTTGGGAAATGCATGGATCTGTTCCAAATAAAACACCCAGGAATGTGGAATGCAGGTGTCCCTCATCCTTTAGGATACTCAAGGCGTGCTGGATGTCTGGTAGCAAGGACAAAGTTTGTTGGCCATCACCCAGCTGATAGCACATGGGCAAGGACAACCCTTGGTTTGGGCTCTGTTGGCAGGAGAAAGCTGGCACGCCAAAATGGATTAATTATGCCCCAAAATAAGCGTGAAGGTACGGCTGGAGAGGAGTACCACCGGCAGGATTTCTGGCACAGAGGGAACGGGGAGGGGGAGGAGACGGGAAACTTCACAGCTCTTAAAGCTCGGCATCCTCCGTCACTGTGTCCGGGGCGGGCACGCGTGGAGAGAGCCTTTTCCAGGAGAGGGCACTCGTGGGAAACAGCAGCTCCAGGCGCTCCGGCCCGGCCAGCGGGAGCGCTTCCCCGGCCCCGGCACCCCGCATCTCGCATCCCACATCCCGCATCCTACATCCCACAGCCTGCATCCCGCACCCCGCATCCCGCACCCTGCATCCCGCATTCCGCACCCTGCATCCTGCATCCTGCACCCCGCATCTCGCACCCTTCATCCCGCATCCCCCCGCACCCTGCATCCTGCATCCCGCACCTCCCATCCCGCATCCCCCCGCACGGCCGGAACCCTCCGGGCAGTGGATCCCGCACCCCGCATCCCGCACCCCGCATTCCGCACCCTGCATTCCGCATTCCGCACCCTGCATCCTGCATCCCGCACCTCCCATCTCGCACCCTGCATCCTGCACCCCGCACCTCCCATCCCGCATCCCGCCGAGCCCGGTCCCGCATCCCTTCCCGCACGGCCGGAACCCTCCGGGCAGTGGGAGCCCCCGGCTCCCCGCATCCCTGTGCAGCGGCGCATCCCGCATCTCTCACCCTGCATCCTGCATCCTGCACCCCGCCTCTCGCACCCTTCATCCCGCATCCCCTCGCACCCTGCATCCTGCATCCCGCACCTCCCATCCCGCATCCCCCCGCACGGCCGGAACCCTCCGGGCAGTGGGAGCCCCCGGCTCCCCGCATCCCTGTGCAGCGGGCAGCGGGAATCCCCCGCATCCCTCTGCCCCAGGCTGAGGGGGATCCTCCTCCCCCCGCATCCCTCTGGACCGGGAAGGGGAATCTCCCGGTCCCCGCCTCCTTCCGGGCAGCGGGATCCCCCCGGCTCCCCGCACCCCTCTGCCACCGGCTGAGCCGCTGAGGCATTCATCAGGAGAACGTGGATCCTCGCTGATCCATTTGGATCCTCTCCCATTCCCCGTCTGTGCTGGGAGGATGCCGCTGTGTGCTTCAACAGCTATCAGCCCTGAAATAAAAGGAAAAAAAAAATTAAGAAAGGAAAAAAAAATCCCGATGTACAGGGGGAAAAAAAGCCCTTAGGCCAGTGGTGCGCTACGTGAGAGGGAAACATCTTGTATGCTAATTGGCTTTAGGTACTTACAGCAAGATTGAGACTTGTAGCATTGCCACAGATTGTTGGAAATTCCTCCGATAAGCTGACAGATGAATGTGTCTCTCTCATGGAGAGGTGAGAGAGCAGCAAAATACTTCCAAGAGCACAGGCAGTGAAGCAGAGATATTTCTGGCATGTCAACACGCCGGGGCGGTGAGAACGCTGACCACTCGCTGCGGGAGGGATGGGGAGAGAGGGAAGAGAAGGGGGAAGCAGCGGGCAGGCACGAAATGCTGATCTGCTGGCCACGTCCTGCACACCGAGAGGCAGCTCTGTGTGTGAAGAGCTCCATCAACTTGAATTACTGCTTGTGAAGCGAGGTGGGAGCGAGGGAGTAACGAGCCAGAATCCGGCCCGCAGCAGCACGGCCGGCCGGCAGAGGTGTAGGCTGAGATTAATGTCCCAGCACAGCTAATTGTTGGGACCTGTTTAACCATAAACCATGTTTATTTCTTTGGCTGAGATTTTTGATTTTTTTTTCAAGTTTCAGAATTAACTTTGCCCTTTAGCCATGGGCAGGGTTAATTTCTGCTGGGTTCCCAGCCCTGGGTGATGCTGGGGAGATCTCTGGCTGCTGGAGCAGAAGTGGGCAAGGCAGAGCTGTGTTGAGGTTTCCTCACAAGCACTCACCCTTCAGGCAAACCTTCACCTCCTCTCTGTGCTATAAAAAATGAGAGAAAAAAAAAAAAGCCTTGAGGCCCAGGGGCATCATGCATCCTGCACCACAGCCTTACACAGCAGCACAAGCACAATCTGGTTCTGAAAATGCACCAGACCCCGTGGCTCACTCTGTCTGTTCCAAAGCACTGGGAATAAACCCCACGGCAGTGTGAAGTTGGTGTCACACAGACAGGGCACCCTGTGCCTCTGTCCTGCTCCAGCCACCTCGTTGTCCCACCAGTTCTTTGTTCTCCCTCTGCTCACAAAGTGTGAAAAGTAATTTCTGATGGTTGAGATGGGAGTTGCTGTTCAAGGCTTTTTTGCAGGATATTTGGAGCCGTTTCTGAACCTTTTAAATTGGTTGCTTGGGTGTCTTTGAGTGTGGGCCCTTTGCTGAAGCAGTGTCCCCTCCTGGCCACTGGCCGTGCCTGGTGCTGGCCGTGGCTCCCTTCTCCCCATCTGTACCAGACTGAGCCCTGGATATTGCTCAGGTCAAACAACATTGCTTCTTCTCTCCATCCACCTGAAAGTATTTGCCCAGGTGATTTCCTGTCAGTTCTGAGTGTACAAGGAGCAGGAATGGTCCTGTGGCAATTTGCAGATCCCCCAGCTTTTAGACTTGGTTCAGTTTCTCAATTTTTGAGACAATTCTGCCTCTGACCTTGAGCAAGGTCACTTTCAACTTCCGTGCCTCAGTTCTCCCAGCAACAAAATGGGCTTAACAACATTTCCTTTCTCCAAATTTAAATTTTCTTCACCATGTCCTGGCCAGAACTGCACACTGTGAATCCGATGGGATCCCTAATTTAATAAGCACAGGGGAGCCTATTATTATAACCTTCATGCCATAGCTCTGGCTTTATCTCTGCCTGCAATTTGCTGTAGGAAATATCACTGCTTTCTCTTTTCAACTGCCATTAGCAATTGCAGCAGCTGTGGTACAGGACCCGGGGATTTTCAGCTGAAGTCTAAACGCAGTTGACAACTGTATGAATCTCAGAGCCGGGGTAAGTAGCTAATGCAAATATCAACATTGTAGTAAGAAACACTCAGGAGCAGTAAGTGACTGATAGAAAAGTGATTATATGGACTTTATGTTGAAAAGTAAATATTTACTCTTCACCATTGACTGATGCTTCAAGCACCATAGATCTAAAAAAGACATTGATTTGCTCTCCTCCAGCCTCTCTTATCTCCTACTTATGAAAATATCTGGTGAATAGTACATCATCTGCTTGCTCCACAGCCTAAGTGCCTCAGAGCAGCCACTCAGGTAATTTATTTGGCACCCAACAGTGCAATAGTTAATTGCAGTGCTTGTGGAATTGCGTGTGGGCTCTGCCATAGCCTCCTGAAATGCAGTCACCCAGCACTGCTCCTGCTTCCCTGGTTCAGAGCTTGAACACTGGGCCAGCTCCTGCCCTCCTCAGCAGCCACCCAGGCATTAAAAATGAGAAGAAAAAAAACCAAAAAAAAACCAAAAAAAACCCCAGAAAATAAAAATTTCTTTCTACAAGAAATTTTATTCCTTGAAGAAGTAGAAAAGAGAATGACCTCAGAAAATGCAGCTGTGCTCTTTAAGAGCAGGCTGGCCGTCGGTGGCTCCCTGTGCCGCTCTCCTCTTTGCCCTCCTGGAATTGCCTTGAAATAACTTAAATGAAGTTGAGCCTCTTGGAGGCTGTCAGGTCTGCTGGACCTCCTTGGCAATCAATTTAACCTCCTGGAATAATTTTTTTCTGCCGCCTGAAGTTGCTGAGTCAGTGATGGGTGTCTGGGGGCTGCCTGCAAAGCTGGGCCTGGTCCCTCTTCCCCAGGGAGCCACCCAGGATCATGCCTGTGGGCAGATAAGGTGCTGCTCCTCTGCTTTGCTATTTTTGGAAGGGACTGTTGTGGATGGTGTGTTTTACAATGCCCCGTGTGTGACTGTGCTTTCATCAGCTGGGGGCTGGGACCCTGTTGGGGACAGCTGTGGCTGTGCACACCCAGTGTGAGCTGCCTCAGTCCTCCTGCTCCACCCAAGGGGCAGGGAAAGTCCTCTGGGATGCTTCAGCATCCCTGCCCCTTGGGTGGAGCAGGCATTTTAGCTCCCATTGTCTCTAAAGGAGAGAAACACGCTATGCTGCCTCACTTTGTCCTGTTTTGGGGCTCACCTGTCTTTAGAAGAAGCCTTGCAGCTGCAGGTGGCCTTGGTTGACATTGGCAGGGGACGTCCATGCGTGCGTCCCTCCCGCCCCTCGGAGCTTCACTGCTCTTCACACTGCAGCAGCTTTCTCTCTACAGCTGATAATTACTCACCTCAGGAATAAATAATCACAAAGTGGAGGGTACAGAGAATTGTTCACAGAAGAAGAGAACTAAAAACTTTGTCTGCTTCTCCTATGGAGCCTCTGCATCGGCCGGAGGGATCTGCCCAAGCTGCTCTGCAAATGTTGTGCTCGGTAATTACCAACTGCATAAACATTTCTCTTTTATTTAATTTTGCCTGATGATAATTAGGTGTGAGAGCCTTGTTTAGCAGCCTCTCACTGCTTCCTGCTCCCGGTTGTTTTCAAACCTGGAACAGAGGATGGAGCCTGCCCCACAACGACATTGCCCGGTAAGATGCCATCCAGCATGAGCTCCACAGCCTGGGAAAAGCAACCCAGCCTGAAAAATCCTCTCGATGAATCCCAAAAGACAGCTGCAGTGTAAGGCTGCCTTCCAGGGCTGTCACCAGAAAAGTGTTCAAAAGAAGAGCAATAAGAAACACATTTGCCAAGTTCATAAAACTACAACCTTGAGACAAAGGTCACCAAAGCATCACTGGCTTTCGGTGGGTCGTGGCACGAGGGGACAACCACAGCGACCTGGAAAGGGACCTTTGATGACATTAGGCATTTCAAGGAGAGATTTACTGATAACAGAGGTTAGAACACTCAGAGAGTGTTTGCAGTGCTTGGATTCTGCTTTTGCTTTCCTAGAGCCCCTGAAGCCAGTGAGGCAGAAGAAGTTGGAGATGTTCTGCAGTCACGTTGGTGCCTCAGTGCCCCAGCCCGGCAGGGACGCGGGGCTGGCTCTCCACGTGTCCTGCACCCACAGAGTTTGCAGGCTGCCTGTCCCTTTTGCACAACACTCCTCCATCAAAACCCTCTGCCTGCACGCAGGAAAATAACTCCAGGGACTTTGATAAAACTGTTCCTGTAAAGGAGACAGGTGAGAAGGAACCTCCCTCTTGTAAAGGCAGTCTTTTTTATCCTCTTTTTTGTGTAGGTGCTCTGGTGCCTACAATGCTGCTGGAAGTCTATGGGCCAACACTAACACGTGTGTAAAGTTTCATTGTCACCAGAGCAGAGGTGTGTGGATAGAGAATATTTTCTTCACACATTTAACATTCAGGTTTCTTTTACTCCTTTTTTTTCCCCCACTCTTCGTGCGATGCCAGCAGCTCGGAGAGCTGCTGCCTGCAGCCTTAGGTGTGCATTGGCTTCCATTTGATTGCTGTACAGCAACTCTTCTTATCTTTGGAAATTAACCATTTCATAAGCAGAGAGGAGGTGTCTCACAGCACGAGCGTAATGCACCAGGCATTGCACCAAAGACTGCAGAGTGCACCACTCTTTCAGTCAATGCTGGGGCTTTGACACCTAAAAAAAAAGTATATTCCAATTCCAGCCCTGTCAGATGTATAAAGCAATTATGCAAAACTGTCTTTAAGAAGATATTATTCTTAGGACTTTTTTTTTCTTTTTTTTTATTTAATTTTTTTTTTGTGACAAGCAGTATTTCACAAAAATCCTCACCTTTTCTTACTTATATAATTTAGTGCCACTTACAGTAAATTGTATTTGTTTCATACGTGGTTTCATTATCACATCTATGTAAATTCTTCCAATAAAGTATCCTCAGACTTTAAGATGCAAAACAATTTTGTTAAGATAGGGTCTAACATAAAACAAAGGAAAATAAGCAAGGTGTTCCTTTTTTCTGCAATGACTGTATGGATGTTAATGACAGTCATCTCCATGTACAGGTCTAGCATCTGGTTGCTATATTTATTTTAATTGTGTGGGGTTTTTTTTCAGGGAGAAATCCAAATCCCATATGTGCTCTCTTATGACACAAAGCCCTGAAAAATCAGAATAAATCTATAGCTGTAACATCCATGTGCTTTTTAATTGCTCTCTGCTCACTAACTAAATATTGTGGGATGTTTCAGGGTGAGATATGAACTTCCCAGCTTCATCTCTTTTCCACTCCTGTGTTGTCCTAGCTGCCTGCTGTTGACTCCTTGTAGGTCATTTCCAGCAACATAAGCAAGACAAGCAAACAGCAAAATTGCAAGATGCAAATGCCCTTCGTTTTTGGCTCTGAGTCAAAAAATAATAAGTTGACAATAACCCTGCCAGAATATGCAGCAAGGGTGACTGCATATTTCTTCCTGTTAGCGTGACAGTACAAGGGAGCTGGTCACCAGGAAGAGATGAGCTTGTGTTCGCCTGGTTGCTGCAGTATGTGCCTGGTCTCAGGTTTTAAAGGTTTTTCTGGTAAAGCATAAAGAATCCATCAAACAGCAGCTCGTTTCCACTTCTACAGCAGAAAAAGCATGAGGGGAGAAAAAACAGAGGAGGAAAAAAAGCAGGTAACTT